TTTCGAGAATCTTCCGTAGGTATGCCTCTTGAGATAAGCATAATCTCGACTGCTTTCTATCTCTTCGGATGTCAATCCCAAGAATCCTAGACGCAGCTCCTAGATTCTTCATGTTGAACTCCTTATTGAGTTCGGCCTTCACTCTAATTACCTTTTCGACATTGTTGCTTGCTATTACAATATCATCCACATAGAGCAACAACGTAAAAATTGAATTACCCGGTCGAGATCTGAAGTCAACATAGTGGTTGAATTGACTTCTGATGAAACTTATGCGTGCCATGAACTTGTCGAATCTCCTATTCCATTGTCGAGGAGATTGTTTCAGTCCATATATGGATCTACTTAGCTTGCACACATAATCTTCCTTCCCTTTTTCGACATACCCTTCAGGCTGCCTCATCAGGATTGTTTCATCTAAGTCGTCATACAAGAACTCAGTCTTCACATCCATCTGTTCCAGTTCAAGGTCGAACTGTGCCTCTGGGGCGAGCAACATTCAAATGGATCTGCGCTTCACAACTTGAGAGAACACATCATTGAAGTCGGCACCTTCTTTCTGAGTGAACCGCCTAGAAACCAATCTTGCCTTGTATCTTTTCGACGCCACTCCTTTGATTCCTTCCTTAACTTTGAAAATTCATTTAAAGCTAACTAACCTGGCTCTAGCAGGTTTCTTGATCAGTTCCCAGGTGTTGTTATCATGAAGAGATTTCATCTCATCATCTATGGCCTTCAACCATTCAGTCTTCTTACGAATTCTCATAACTTCCTTATAGTCTCTAGTTTCTTCGTCTAGAACCTCACTTTCAGAGATTAAGGCATAAGCTATAAGATCTGCATACCCAAGTCTCCGAGGTGGCTTGATGACTCTCCTCGACTTGACTCTTGCTAGCAGGTAATCATTATCATTCTCCTCATCTTCGACAACATCTTCTGTGTCTTCTTTGACTTCATCTGGGGTATACAATTCATTACCAACATGCTTCGCCTTAATAGGAATCTCTCTCTGTTCCAGCTCTTCGTCAGCATCGTCAGTTTTCTTGAAAGCCATCTCTGCTTTATTGAAAACTACATCTCGACTAGTGATACACCTCATATGATCTGGATCTAAGCACGATAGCCTATAAGCTTTGACTCCTTAAGGGTATCCCATGAACATGCATTTCAGAGCTCTAGGTTCGGCCTTGTCTTGCCTAATGTGAGCATAGGCCACACAGTTAAATACTCCCAATCTGTTGAGACTAGGTGGATGTCCTGACCAAACTTTTTCAGGTGTCTTCATTCCCAAGGCAGTCGAGGGTCATCTATTTATCAGGTAAGCTGCTGTTGAAACAAATTTCACCCAAAACACCTTCTTCAATCCAGCACTAACCAACATGCATCTAACCCTTTCAAGGATTGTTCGATTGAATCTCTTAGATAATCCATTTTATTAAGGAGTACCTGCTACAGTTTTATGCCTTGCAATCCCAGACTCAACACAGTAACTATCGAACGCTTCATTGCATAATTCAAGGCCATTGTCAGTTCTCAACCTCTTAACCTTTCTGCCAGTTTGAGTTTCGACCAGAATCTTCCAACTTTTGAAATTCTCAAAAGCTTCATCCTTCGTCTTCTAAATGAATACCCATAGCTTTTTGGAATAGTCATCAACGATGGATAGAAGACACCTTGCACCTGAGTGTGAAGGATTCCTTGCAGGCCCCTAAAGATCAGCATGAATGTAATCCAGGGATCCATGTGTTCTTTGCTTGCCTTTGTTAAACTCCGCCCTACAGGATTTACTAAATACACAAGATTCACAAAACTCCAAATTTTCGAATTTGTCACCTCCTAGCAGATTTTTCTTCCCCAATTCGACCAGGCCTCTTTCGCTGACATGACCCAATATCATGTGCCATAATTTTGTCTGCGACACTGGTTTCATGGAGCAACATTTGTCTAACCACTTACAACCTCAGCCTCAAGGGTATACAAGCCTTGTTTCTTCACGCCTCTTAAGGCTTCCTTCGACCTTTTCATGACTCTTAGGATACTTTTCTTTCTTTGAAAAACGTATCCCTTTCTATCGAATTCACCAAGAGAAATCAAATTTCTCTTCAAGTCAGATATATAGCTAACTTCATTCAATAACCTTATTGACTCATCACGGAGCTTGAATCTCACAGATTCAATACCTGCAACTTTGCAAGATTTGTTATTTTCCAGCAGCACAGATCCACCATCTTGATCACATAGCTCCTCGAACAATTCTATATTTGGAGTCATGTGCCAAGTGCAACCTAGATCCATAATCCACTCTTTTCTCGAGTCGCCACTTAAAACCACAAGAACATCAGATGAGTCAAAGTCATCTTGAACAATGGCTGCATTCCCATTACCTCCATGATCTTTCAGGCGTTCAAGGCACACATTTCTTGTGTGACCCTCCTTCTTGTAGTGATAATATTGAATACCAAATGTTTCGCCACTATAACACTTCTCTGACTTTTACCTTTCTTCTTGTCGAACTTACCATCCTTTCGCAAGAATTTTTCCTTAAGCGCCAAACCTTCTCCCACTGTCGAAGGTTTATACTTCTTTCGTTTGTTCAAGTCCTTAGAATACAAGGCCGATTGAACTTCTTCAAAGGCCAGGGACTCCCTTCCATACAAGAGAGTTTCTTTAAAGTGAGCATGTGTTCTGGGCAAAGCACACAACAGCAACAGTGTTTGATCTTCATCATCGATCTTCACATCAATAGTTTTAAGATCAAGAATCAGCTTGTTGAACATATCCAACTGCTCGGCCAACACTTTGTCTTCACTCATCTTGAATGAATACAAAGCTTGCTTCATGTAGAGTCGATTCACCAGAAATTTGATCATGTACAAACTTTCAAGTTTCACCCATAATCCCGATGATGTAGTCTCCTTTGATACTTGTCGAAGAACCTTATCACTAAGGCTCAACAATAATGCGTTGTGGACTTTCTTGATCATGCTCGTCTTTTCTTTTGTTGTTAACGCATTGTCCATGGCTGCCTCACCCTTCAACGCTTCTAAACAACCCCGCTGAACCAGTAGGACTTTCATCTTTAGACGCCACAGATCGAAGTCGTTCACTCCGGTGAACTTTTCAATCTCATACTTGTTGAAGGCATCTTATCCACGCTCACCGCACCAATTTGTTGTGAATCAGATGTCTTTAAACAAAGTATAAACGATTTTTTTATGATCAAGAAACACACAAGAGTTAGGGTTAACAAAGAAAACAAGGTAAAACAACAAGGAACAACAAGGATTGATTATAAACTATTATTCTTTCCTTACTCTTAGAACAAGATTACAAGTATACAAGAATAACAAAATAACCTCTCTCTCTCTTGAAATTAGGATTTTATCTTCCTATTTTTTCTCATGTCAAGATTGAAAAACTAGCATCCTATTTATAAGAAAAATAGCACACTAACCTAATGGGCTTTTTAACAATTACCCATTACAAGCTAACTTAGGGTACAAACTAACTTAAACACTTGAGCTTACAAGCAAGGCACAATCCAATATGCTAACACCCTAGCAATATTGACTAATGCATGTTAGAACAAACTTCGACTACAACACGCATTACTCTGACAGCAGCATGCGAACAGACTTCAACCTCATACTTAATTCCTGTCGAACTAGAAGCTACCCTTCGACCATACTAGAGTTTAATCCAACATCTTACAATTCGGGTTGACAGATAAACCAGTATATTTGGAGAAAATCTCAAATGCTTCCATGACCATTGATATAGATTTGATGTCCCCTCTAGCAAACAATAATAAACCATAAGCAAAGTTTAGATTTATTATGCTCAATTTCTCGCATTTGAAGTGGAAATTGAAATCTTGAATGTACTTTAGTTTCTACAAAATTATGTGTAGGACATTTGGTAATACTTAGCATAACCCAATTGATTAATTTGTTTGAAAAACTAAGATCCTTTAAAATATTCTCCAAAGAACTCCATACAACTGTATCGTACGCTTTTTAGAGATCCATCTGAAACATGCATCTAGGCATACCCCCTTTGGTGGAGTACCCCTTGATCAACTTATAAGCAAGTAATATGTGGTATCGGATATGTTGATTAGGAACAAAAGTAGCTTGACTGTTGTTGATAATGCTTCCTATATCTTTGCCAAACCTAGTTGTCATGATTTTGGGAATTATTTTATAAAGGGTTGTGCAGCAAGAGATGGGTCTGTAATCCTTTATCATATTGGTAGAATTTGTTTTAGGGATTATGGTAAGCAGAGTACTATTGAAAGGCTTATAAAGATGCTTATCAACAAAGAAATATTGCACAACATTAATGATGTCATGTTTGGTAAAATTCCAAGTAGCTTTGAAGAATTTCACGTCGTACCCATCAGCTCCAGGGCCGTGAGATCCTTGATACTTTTTAGAGCTTGAAGAGATAGGTTTTGTTCCATGGACAATTGATTTCCATTTCTCATAGTTATAACATCAATCCCCCGTAACTTGTGAGCAGCTGATCCCACTAAGTTGCCATAGAATGATATCACTTCCTCCTCGATCTTGGGTAGATAATTGGATCCCACTGTTGGTTTGTAAGTTCAGCATCTAAGTTTGCTTTTGTTTACTTTTCAATATTGCATGGAAATAGGCATTGTTGCCATCACCATGCTTTATCCACTCAAGTTTAGACTTTTGCCTTAGAACCTGTTCCTCAATATGTCTCTGGTGAAGGACTTCTACAGTACAGTGAATAAGTAATAGTGCAGTGAAACGAGAGCGAATTTCATTGCATTTACTTGGGTTATTAAGCGCCCTAACATTCTAGGATATAATCATGATGCTTTGTCAATGGGCCCTAAGGGATCGTTCCAAATCCGTAGGGTATCAAAACCATTTTGACAAGGGATGTTTGCTAGTGTTTTGGGGTTGACCACAATTGCTACAACTTTGCCTTTGTTTTTCCAGTTAACCTTCGTAACACTCCATTTGTTTTCACACTGAGGTGCCTCTTCTTGGATAAGGCGCACCCCCTCGCGTAAAAGCTTCTACAGCCGGTTGACCAAAATGGGGATCCCAAATTGCATGAGCAATAGGTCTTACATGTAAAGGATCCTGTACCCATGCCTCAAAATTTCCTTGCCAAGCTACATGGAAGAGATTCCCGGAAGTCCACAGAAAAATGATTGCTAATTGTCCGAAATGAGAAGCAAAAATATTCTGATAAAGACGTTCCTCAGTAATATCATCATGACTCTCGAAGTCATGTGCGGTAGCAATACCAAACCAAATACGACGAGTAGTGGGGTCCTGAACTAAGCCTTGGCTAAACCTTGGAAATCTTAATGCCATAATGCTTTTCAAATCCTCCTAGCCATTATCCTACTGCAATAATTCTTGCTAAGAAGAATGCCCACGTTGTGGCAATTCCACCCAGAAGGTAATGTGTTACTCCTACAGCACGTCCCTGTACAATGCTTAAGTCCTTCACATGACTTGTAGATGCTTCCTTTTAAGTTTGGTTGGCATGTCCTTCACTTTCCTTAGCTTTCCATTGTTTGGTTATTTTTTCTTCTCCTTCATGTTGCAATGGTTATTTCTAATATTACACTTTAGTAATGCTTATATATGAAAGGATTGTCTCTTGGGGTGTGCTCTAGTGGTTACACAATTTTATGAAAGGTTGAAGACATACCACTATGAACCATCACATTTATGTGCCCGTCGTAACCAACCAGTCGACTCAGCTCAGTTTGGCTTAAGTTTGTGTTTGGGTGATCCATTATTATTTTGTACTCGAAATGGTGAAAAATATTTAATATTAATTAATTTAAATTTTGTTGCGTTATTACTTAATGATAACCCTAATTTTAGACAAAGTTACCACGATTTTCCTTACCTTCCACGTTTCTTGTTGTCCAAGTTCTATAACGGCTAGTTTTAGGGTTGATCCGCTTCGAAGCCCCCCCCCCCCTTTTTTCCCATTTGGATCAGAATTTCACCTATAAATAGGGATTATCCCATCGCATTCTCTTCACTCTAGATTTCTGCATTCTGAAATCTTTCTCTTCTCTCACGTCTCCGCTTCATCTAAATAACTTTATTTTCTTCAATGTTTCGACTAGCTGCCTTGCGCCATATACATCTGGTTTTCTCTAGATACATAACTAGTAATTAACCAGATACAACTACTTTTATTTATACCATCATCGAGTAGTCCTTGTGCCATCAGAGGTTGTATTCCTAAACGTATTATCTATTGTCGAAGTAGTAGTTGTACAATATAGAATTATGTTATTTTATCCTTGAGGCTTCGTGGTTGATTGACTGCTTTGCACATCTATGGGTAGTTCCATGAAACGTATTAAAGAGAGCGACCTAGTCTGCGACTCGACCCACTAATTTCTTTAGTGACAATTTTTTAAAATTATAAAACAACAATTTTAAAGACATTTTCAAATTGTCATGGCTACCAAAGAAATTACTGGTAATTTTTTGACAGTTACCTTTGACAAACTGTTCATGTTTTAGGGAAATCACTTCAAACACTAACAACAAAAAATATGATTTTTCTTATCCTTAATAAAAGTTGCCAACGTTTTGACCGAGGGCATTCATGGTACTACTTATGGATCAATCGGAAAAATAAACTGCAAGAAATTGTTAATTCAACTGAATTAAATTATGCTACATAGATTAAAGTGAATAATTTATAGCTCGGGAAAGAATCTCCCCATGGAAAGAGAATGAATGTCTCTGTAAAATCATATTGAGAATGGACTCTTTGATAACATGTATGATTATTACAGTAACTATGAGACTGTAAAACGAGTCTATGAAACTCCGAAAAAGAAGTATGATACTTAAGAGGTTGGAGCAGAGAAGTATGTTGTTAGTTGCTACCTGATGTATCAGATGGTAGATGAAAGGAAAATTGAAGCTCATTGTCATGAACTTTAAAAGATAGCTTACAAGATCATCACTAAAGATATTCCCTTAGATCAAAAATTTCAAATTGTTGTTATAATTGACAAACTGCCCCCCGGGCTAGAAAGATTTTAAAAACTTAATTTTCCATAAAACAAAAGAATTTTCAATTGAGATATGATCACACGTCTCCAAATTGAAAAGGAATCTCAGAGACAAGATCATAAAGATGAAGTTTTGGTTGTTTAAAACAACAAAAAAGATATTCGGTGCAATTCTAAAGTCATATGGAAAATCATTAAAGAACCAGAACTGTAATGATGTAAGTTTAATTAAAAATAGGGACCCTTCTAAGGCCCCGATTGCTCTAGTTTCTAGGCAACGTCTATCACCCCAAAGAAATGACACTCCTGTTTTTAGTTGCTTTAATTATGGAAAATATGGTCATATGGCTAAGAGATGTAACATCAGAGCTAAGCAAGTTGTTGGCTGTAGTGCACAGGTTAACCTAAATGATGAGAAATTTATTGTTATGATCATTAAATCAACATAATTGGTGAATATATATTGGTGCCTCTCATCATGTCTGTTATAATCTTGTTATGTTCAGAACATAGATGAATGTTGGAGATAAGAAAGTGTTATTGGGATATGCTCATACCATTAATGTTGTTGGAATTGGAGACGCGGAGCTAAATTTCACCTCTAAAAAGACTATAAGCTTAAAGGATGTTATGCATGTTCTCGAGATTATAAAGAATATTATTTCTAGATTTCTTTTGAATAAGGCATGGTTTAGTCAGTCTATAGGGGACAATTTGTACACCATCATTAAGAATAGTATTTTTGTTGGAAAAGGATACTCCACTAATGGCATGTTCAAGTTGAATTTTAAATTGAAAAAAAATCTTCTTCTGTTTACTCCTTGTGTGATTTTAATGTTTGGCATGATAGACTTTTTCATTTTAATAAGCGTATTATTTATAATTTGAGTAACTTAGGTCTAATACCAAAGTCAAGTGACAATGGCTTACAAAAAATGTGAATATTGCAGTCAAGCTAAAATAACTAAGACATTGCAAAAATCAGTATTTAAAGACCCTGATCCCTTATATTTTATTCACTATAAGATTTGTGAACTAGATGAAACTTTTACTAGAAATAATAAATAATATTTCATCACTTTTAATGATTATTGCTCTGATGATACTTATATATACCTAATAAAGAATAAAACTGAAGCAATTGGCATGTTTAAGACTTATGTGAATAAAATAGAAAATTAATTTAGTGAGAAGATTAAGAGACTTTGTAGCAATTGGGAAACTGAATATGCTCAAGTTTATTTAATGAATTTTATAAAAAAACATGGAATTGTACATGAAACAACTATACCATATCATCTTAAAATGAATTGTAAAGCATAAAGAAAGAATAAAACTCTTACCAAATTAGTTATAGCTATTATGTTAAATTTTGGTGTTGCATCTCACTAGTAAGGGGAAATCTTATTGATTGTTCGGTATGTCATGAATATAGTTCCCAAGACTAAAAATAAGATCTCTCCTTATCAAATATTGAAGCAAAGACAATCAAAATTCTCTTACTTTAGTTAGAACTTGGGATTGTCTGGCTTAAGTCAGGATTTCAGATCTAAAATGTGTTAAACTTGCTAGTAGAGCCTAAGAATATGTATTTATTGGTTATACAACAAACAGTAAGGCATGTGGTTGTTATGACCTAAACTCTAAAATGATTATAAAATAAAATGATATTGAATTCTATGAAGACAAATTTTCTTTCAAATTAAAAAATAGTCGGGCACTGAATCAAATCACATTCTTGTGATAAGAAGCATTGAAAGCAATGAAGAAGCATAAAATAAACTTAGACAAAGTAAAAGAGTAATAGTTGCTAAAGACTATGGCCCCGATTATGCGACCTATATAGTAGAAAAATATTTCAAAAAAATATTTAAGAAGCCTTGTCATTTATAGATGCAAATTTGTGGCAAGAAGCTATTAACGATGAGATAAATTCTCTAGAAACTAACAGGACCTGACACTTAGCATACTTGCCTCTTGGTTGCAAAAAAATTTATTATGCATGGCTTTTGAAAAAGTAACTAAAAAATTGATAAGTACAAGGTTCGCCTTGTAGCCAAAGCTTTTAGGCAAAGAGAAAATATAGATTTTTTAAAATATTTTTTCTCCCGTCACTAAAATTACATTCATTAAGGTATTGATTTTAATTACTTCTATTTATAACTTAATAGTACACCAAATGAATGTTAAAATAACTTGTTTAAACAGTGACTTATAAAATGAAATCTATATGGACCAATAAGAAGGATTTGTGATTCATGGACAAGAAAATACGGTCTGTAAGTTAGATAAGTTTATATATGGTCTAAAACAAGCTTCAAAGCAATGACATGAAAATTTTGATAACTTCATGATATAAAATATATACAAAGTGAATGAAAGTGATAAATGAGTTTATTAAAAAATTTAAAAATAACACATGCACTATCATATGTCTCTATGTAGACGACTTACTCATATTTGAAAAAAAATATAGATTGTTAATGATGTGAAATCATTATTGTGCAACAACTTTGATACGAAAGATCTCATAGAAGGAAATGTAATCCTTGGTATCAAGATCACTGGATCTGAATAAGGAATTTCTTTGGATCAATCTCATTATGCGGAAAAGATCTTAAATAAGTATAAATACTTTGACTGTAAATCTGCTTGTACACTATGTAATCCAAGTGTTAAATTATTTAAGAACACTAGTGATAGTGTTAGACTACCACTACATAAAATACATATAATGACGGTTGTGAAACACATATAATGATGGTTTCACATTCGTTATTAGGTAGCATGTGATTGTATGTATATTGGTTTCTACGACGAGTGTATGATTATTGTTATAAGTTAGGTAGCGTCCTACTTATAGTGACGATTAAGTCAAAAAACAGTTGTGAAATAATTTATAAGTCCTGAGTTTGAATTCCAATAACGTCATTCTTGAGTTTTAATATTTCCCCATATTTATATGTTCCAACCATGATAGTATGTATAAGAGTTTATTATAAAATATGGGATTGCTTATTTTTCCCTGCCCCTCATTAACCATATACAACCATTCAAATAGATTTTTTAGATAATAATTAAAAAAATTAAATTATTCTTCTAAACCAACTTAAACGATCCAATGTTTATCGAATTGTATGTATCTTATAATTCATGATTTCCTCATTAATCTATATAATTTGATTCAATCTCAAATTCTTCAAAGTAAAGATAATGAATGAATGTCTTCTAATTGTTTCACACAAAATTCGATTTCATCTTTTTTTATCTAGTTTATGCAAAAATTATATTTTGTGTGAAAGACTCAGACTGACATCCATT